CAAGCTCCGCCTCCTGGGTTCACGCCATTCTCCTGCCTCAGCCTCCGAGTAGCTGGGACTACAGGCGCCCGCCACCTCGCCCGGCTAATTTTTTGTATTTTTAGTAGAGACGGGGTTTCACCGTGTTAGCCAGGATAGTCTCAATTTCCTGACCTCGTGATCCACCCGCCTCGGCCTCCCAAAGTGTTGGGATTTCAGGCGTGAGCCACCGCGCCCGGCTAATGTTTGTACTTTTCAAACCAGGATCCAGAGAGGGTTAGTTCATTACATGTGATTGTTTTATTCTTAGTAACTTTTATTCTAGAATAATGCCTGTCTTTTTTTAATGACATTGATAAAAATTGTTTTTAACAATTACTGTGTTTAAATTGAGCAACATGATTGGTGACATTTTTGGTCTATTCTTTTGTTCTCCTTTTGAGAAGTGTATGTCAAAGTATATGCTTAGTTCTTGAACTCTGAATAGTAAAATTCTCAGTCTTTTTGTGAAAATGTCTTCATTTTCACTAATTTTTGAATGATAGTTTAGTTGGATATAGAATTCTAGATTGATTGGCACTTATTTCTCTTTCAGACTTCGATGATATGATCTCATTGTTTTCTGTTGTTTTTGAGGCTATTTGCTGTTGGTCTAATTGTCATTCATTTGTAGTTAGTTAATTTTTTTTTTTTTTTTTTGAGACAGTCTTTATTACCCAGGCTCGAGTGTAGTGGCATGATCTCAGCTCACTGCAACCTCTGCCTCTCAGGGTCAAGCAATTCTCCTGCCTAAGCTTCCCATGTAGCTGGGATTCCTGGCATGTGCGATCACATCCAGCTAATTTTTTGTATTTTTAGTAGAGACGGGGTTTCACCATGTTGAGCCACTGACCTCAAGTGATCTGCATGCCTTGGCCTCCCAAAGTGCTGAGATTATAGGCGTGAGTCATCGTACCTGGCCCATTTGTAGTTAGTTAATTTTTCTTTTCTTTTTTTTTTTTTTTTGGAGAGGGAGTTTCACTGTTGTTGCCCAGGCTGGAGTGCAATGGCATGATCTCCACTCACTGCAACCTCTCCCTCCTGGGTTCAAGCTCTTCCCCTAGCTCAGGCTTCCAAGTAACTGGGATTACAGGCATGTGCCACCATGCCCAGCTGACTTTTGTATTTTTAGTAGAGACGGGGTTTCACCATGTTGGCCAGGCTGGTCTCGAACTCCTGACCTTAGGTGATCCTCCCGCCTTGGCCTCCCAAAGCGCTGAGATTACAGGCATGAGTCACTGGGCTCGGCCCATTTATAGTTAGTAAATTTTTGATTTCTGGTTGCTTTTAAGATTTTTCTTTGGCTAGGCGTGGTGGCTCACGCCTGTAATCCCAGCACTTTGGGAGGCTGAGGCAGGAAGATTGCTTGAGCCTAGGAGACCAACCTGGGCAATATAGTGAGACACTGTCTCTACAGAAAAAACACAAAAAATTAGCTGGGCATGGTGTCACGCACCTGTGGCCCCAGTTACTTGGGAGGCTGAAGTGGGAGGATCACTTGAGCCCAGTTAATCGAGGCTGTAGTGAGTCATGATTGTGCTACTGCACTCAGCCTGGGTGACAAAGCAAGAACTTGTCTCAAAAAAAAAAAAAAAAAAAGAGAAAAAAAGAAAATATTCTTCTTTTGTATTACGCAGGTTCATTAGGATATATCTAAATGTAGTTTTGTTTTATTTAGCCTATTTGGGATTTGTGTGTGCTTATTTATTCTGAAAGCTCGTATTTTCAGTTTTAGAAACTTATTCACCAATATCTCTTAAAATATTACTTTATGTCTTATTCTTTTGATCCTTTCCTTCTGATACTCCTATTGTTGGGACTTCTGATTCTGTCTTTCGTATCTTTTAACTTCTCATTCATATTTACAACTTTTTTGTATCTCATGGCTTCATTCTAGGTATTTTCTTTAGATCGCTCCTATAACTCACTGATTATCTTTTAGTTATGTTTAATTTGCTTTTTGACCTGTCTGTCTAGTATTTAGTAGTCATAGATATATACTTTTTACCTCTCTAATCCTTACTTACTTCTTTTCTGTAACTGCCTGGTTTTCATGTTGTCATCTTCTTTCATTATGGCTTCTGTTCCACTTTGGACACATACAACTGGGAAAAGCCTTTCAGAAGGTAACATGTTGAAAGAGGTCAAGCCCTTGGAATATCAGATCTTCTGTAATCCAGCCATGGCTTTCTTCATCAGTCTTATTTCCCACAATGCTTCCACTGGATGTATCCTGTGCTCCATCATAGCAGCTTGTACCTCGTTCTCTCAGTACCTTCATGCCTTCTTCCCACTCCGCAGTCTGGGCTGGATGTCTCTCCTCGGCCTCCTTAAACTCTGTATATACTTCTGTCATAATACTGTAGAAGTATAACAACACTTGACACATCACTATCCTTTCCTAGACTGACTCTTCGGAGGCAACCTCTCCATCTTTCATTTCTTTCTCCCGTTGTTGGTATGGTAGTAGCATGTGGGTATGGTAGTAGCATGTAGTTATTCAGTCATAGGTTGAAGAATAATTATGTAGGTTGACTGATACCGTAAATGTGCATTGAAATATGCTAAGACTAACTTTTTGGCCTTGCTGGCTTTTGTGATAATCTCATGATCTGTGTATGTAAACATGAAGCATGTAACACTGGGGAATTATGGATTCTTACTCTTTGAGAAACTTGTTTTAGTATTAGTCACCATTTCTTTTATAAAAGCTAGATATTCTCTATTACTTTTCTGCTCATCACTTTACACTTATCAATTGAATAATTATCTTTTCCTATTAGTGTTCGTGTTTTGGTTTTTCTGTTTTCTTCTGTTTAGAAGTTGTTCTAGAATTTCAAGGGATCCTTGAATGTTAGAATGTACAAACCTAATTAAAGAGTAATCAATTTTTAATTTTCTTTAGATACACATAAGCAACATAACCAAGAAAATGGTTGCAGAGGAGACAGTAATACCTTGGGAGCTCTACATGATCTAGCCAACAGGTAAAACAAATTTGATTTTCTTTTGTTAAACATTTAAAAAAAACTCTTATTTTATAAAAAATAGAGATGGGACTGAGAGATGAAGCCAGCTGGACTTCTGGGTTGGATGGGGACTTGGAGAACTTTTCTGTCTTACAAGAGGATTGTAAAAATGCACCAGTCACTGGATGTAGTAGCTCACTCCTGTAATCCTAGCACTTTGGGAGGCTGAGGTGGGAAGATCGCTTGAGCCCAGGAGTTCTAGACCAGTCCAGGCATAGCAAGACCTTGTCTGTTCTAAAAGGAAAAACAAAAGGTGTGGTCTTTCTAGGTTGCAGAGGCTAGTCTTTAACTCTTGGCCTCAAGTGATCCTCCTGCCTGGGCCTCCCAAAGTGCTGGGATTATGGTCATTACCCCCCATGCCTGACCCAAATTTGATTTTTATATTATTTTTTTCTATATTAATTTTATTCCCATCTTAAAACAGTTTCCAATCTTACTTACTCTGGGATAGTGCATAATTTTGCCCCCCCACCCCCTTTTTTTTTTGAAACGGAGTCTTGCTCTCGTCTCCTAGGCTGGAGTGCAATGGCGCGATCTTGGCCCACTGCAACCTCCCTGCCTCCCGGGTTCAAACGGTTCTCCTTCTGGGTTCAGGCTACCTCCTGAGTAGCTGGATTACAGGTGCCTGCCAGCACGCCCAGCTAAGTTTTGTATTTTTAGTCGAGATGGGGTTTCACCATGTTGGCCAGGCTGGTCTCGAACTCCTGATCTCAGGTGATCTGCCTGCCTTGGCCTCCCAAGGTGCTGTGATTAGAGATGTGAGCCACAGCGCCCGGCCAATTTTGCCCTTTTA